TTTGGTATTTTTGACCATTGTCAATACCACGCATAGACCGCAATAAAGCTAACATAAGCACTGTTAGTAGGAAACTATTTTGTTTTCTTATCTGCACCACTAACATTTTTATATATCTACCGTATATGTATTTATAGCCACACTTATAGTTTTTCTATATTTTTTTCAGTGTACTCCAGTAGCCAAGCAACAACATTCTGTTGTCAAATTTTCTCTGTGCCATGGCAATAAAGAAACTCTACCTCTTAGTTTGCAGAACGAACGCATTGCCCTGCATAAAAAGCATGATGGTTTTCTTGAACATTGCCGATTTTACTCATATATTACTGCTTGCAGGCTCCTGAAAACGTTGAATTTGAGTCCATGTTGGGCCTGAAACGATCCAGATCGCTCGTCTGTATCGATACAAGACCTTGTTGCTTCACTGGCGTCTGAGTCAAAGTGGAGCTCTGTGTCTGATAGACAGCTAGTATATCTCGTTCAGTGCAGGTTGACTTTCGGCCTCCCATGTTTCTGAGATGAAAAACACTTTGTATTTCTCAGGCATATAACATTTTTTTACAATTCTACATTTCCAGCGTAGAAAGATGACTTTTTAGAGTCGATGCCTCACTGTTACATCTTACTCTGAGAGACATGTATGATTATTTGTATTGCACTGAAACTAGTTAATCATTTCTGCTATTACTACCTTTATGAACATAGGCTACGCCAATTTTCTGTCAATGATTTCCCTTCTCCTCGTCTGTCATATTATCCTTTGAATTTTGTTGTAGAGGGGACCTCTGACCTCACGTTGCTCATTCTTTAACACAGAAGACTTTAAAAGATTTGACAAAAGTCGTTTCAGTGTAAAGTAAGACTTTGTTTCTGTGACATTCAGACCTTTACTGGGTTGCTCGTGTTCGCTCTTAATGTCGGATTCTGGGATCTCGCTACGGATCATCACCTGCAGGAAGTCTCCCCGTGTCTGGACAGGAAACAGAAACGATTGAACGTTTCGCATAAATGAGTTAGTTAGCCATTTTAGCTTTTCCAAAGTGTGCTCATATGAGCACATACAGCTTAGACTATTTCATTATCTTTATTTGACTCAGAACCACACCAATCACCTTCCCAAAATCTTTCAAGTCAACGCTTACCGAATCCTCTGCGCTGTGCTGGTCTTTAAATTTCTTAATGATGTCATAGAAAAAGTCCACGCTGGACCTGGGCATGAACTCAACTTTGAAGAGTTTCAGCAGGTGACGACCAAAGGGAAACACAGCTGAGAAGGCAGAATGATACTGGTCAATTTAAAAAAGTGCGACCTGCTCGTATCACATGCAAGCAATGAGTTGACATACCCATAAAGATAAAAGGCCAAAACCTGAAGTTCATGATCTTTTGCATTTGAGTGTGAATAGGGTCCTTGGGGTTGTTGATGGAGTCCATCTCCACGCTGAAGGAAGCGCTGGTCACCACGTCCAAACTGAACGGTGCAACCAATCTGAGAGATAAAGAAATAAAAGCCAAAAGGTTGGGGCTTGCATGTTCATTTAAAATAAACAAAAACGTGCGTGATCTGACAATGTAACAGACACAACATACTTCTTGACATCTATGGACTCATTCAAATCCATTTGTCCAAGTTTTTGCATGAATCTGTCAGCAAATTGAACAACCAAAGGGAAAACCTGGAAGAAAGAGACACAAATTAACGAGTGAGGCTCAGTATGTTTTGTCTATTGTTAGAGAAAACAACTTAATTGTTTAATGATCGATTTAACTTTCCCAACCCTGGTCCTCGGGGGCACACTGCCCAGCATGTTTTGATGCTTTGAGCCCACTTGATTCAGATTATTGCAGATCAGCAAAAGGATATTAATCAGCCATCAGCTGAAATAATTTGCGCCAAAGCAGAAAAATATCTAAAACACATGAGCAGGGAGCCTGGAGGACCAGCGTTGGATAAACAGTAATAGCTTGACATCTATGTTCAAGCTATTTCTTATTCATATGGAGATATCTTAAACGAGCTTTGACAGTAAACATTACACCTCCAGATATCTGTTATCTAGTTTTTCCAAATCATTATTTGCTTTCAAGATAACTGCAATTTAATTTGCACTGTAGTTGAAACAAACAAACAAAACAACAGGTACTAAATTCATTATTATGGAAATTAAAACAAAAGACTTAAAGGAAAGTGTCAACACATGTAGTAGTAGGTAATTAAATGAGTAATGTTTGGGGGAAAGCAGAGCATTGTAGATCCTGACCTGCTTCAGTCTTCCGCTGGTGAAACATGGAGATATTGTGGCACGAATTCGTTTCCACCTTTCATCCTTCACGGCTGTGATCGCATCATCCATAGGCCCGCCGTCTCCGATGATAATCTGTAAACGGACGGAGCCTCTGCTCAGCGTTGGCAGTACTCCAGTCTCGAGACTCTTTCCCACTGTGGCCTTTTATGCGTCACCATACTTTACTTGGATGGATTAATTATTCCAGTTTCAGCTGACCATGCACATTCTAGGCATTGTGTAACTTAATCAAAAACTAGCCTTAATTTGTAATGTTTTTTTTTTTTTAACTCCAGAATCATTTTGACTGACTGAACTGAATAAGTCCATCAGTCAGTTTGGTTTTAGATTCGTCATTCGTGTCACCTGACTGCTATCAGACTTGCAATTCTTTTCTGTGTGCCAAATAAATAAATAAATAAATAAACAATGAGAATAATTTCAGGTTTTCAATATCAAATATCAATCACAACAATCAAAACTAAAAAAAAAAAAGGCTTGGAATACTTGACTCGTGAATCTCTGTAACACATAAATTTCACTTCCTGAAGAGAATAATCAGAACTATTTAAGTTTTTCACAACATTTGCTGTTTTTATGTACTGATGGAAACTCTACCAACTATAAGACTTTATGTTGTTTGCTAGGGTGTTTCTAAGTACCACACAAGTTTAACTGTAATCAGACTAACCAGGTCAACTGTGAAAGACAGTTTCCTGTTTTTGTACCAAGAGCTGCCCAGTAGATGACTTTATTGTACACACAAATATTAGCATTAAACATAGAACAGGAGATATTCCATTAACTAACAAGTATTGCTTTGACTTTATGTGCAGCACAGACAGTAATCCTCTCACACTCCCTGTACGCTCTCCCGCAGTGTGACATTGTTAAACTGCAGGTTTCGACAGGTCAGTAAAACTGACTTACTTCCTGTTGCATCAGATGCTGTGGCTGTGTGGGTGGGATTTGGATGTGACCCTTCTCAAATCCTTAGAACAGGTTTAATAAACTCTGAGGAATTTTGAGAAATTCCTCAAAATCCAAACCTTTTCAGTGGCATGCATTCCTCAGAATTAAAATGATGAAATTAATTTTGTGTTCTCCACTGGACTTAATGGCATTTGTAATCATAACAAACTATCATTAACGATCAATTTTAGAAGACTGTCCACTGAAAATACAACTTTCCTAAAAATGAAGTTGAAAATGCCGGACTTTCATGGTTTCATGCAGCGTCTCACCCTGCGGTTTGTGAATGCAGTGTAGCACTCCTTCACCAAGATGCTTTTTATCATCTCGGGGTCAGCAATCATCATCAGCGGGGTTTTCCCCTCGTACAAACTAAAAAGAAGGAAGGAAAGAAAAGATTGCTCCTGACAAAGTACAGTCGTGACAAAGCATGCATTTCAGCTCAAATTCAAAGTTAAACACTGCAAAACAGAATTTTCAATAATTGGTAAAGGACGTCTATATCTCTGGAATAAAAAGCTGGACCGAAACATTCATGAACTACTCCATAAATAAACTTCATTTCTTTGTCTACTCACCCCCAGATATCCCCATGCTTGGCTTGGCATTCCCGGTCAAAGGTAAGTATTCCCTGAAGAAGATAATTACATAACATGGTCGTAAAGAAAAGCTCCAGGTTTCTTTCTCTCTCTTTTTTTTTTTTTTTTTTGTTTGTTTGTTTTAGAGCAATCAATGTTTGCTTTCAGAAGAATGGGAGGTAGTAAACCACAAAGCTCATCAGCACTTTCATTTTTTAATTTGCTGTGGCTGTTTTTTGGGCATTACCTTTGAGAAACCAGTCAGATTCCCAACAAAGGGCATGGGTCTCGGTCCAGACACCCCTATCTTTTTGAAAAACCTAAACGGCCAGATTCCATATCTGATGTCCAAACGAGAGGAAAAAGAAAGAGACAGGAGGAATTTGACTCTTTCACTGGACTGTTAAGGAAACATGTAGTATTGCAGAGTACTTACAGTAATAACAGAGTGACAGCCAGGGCCACTAAAGTCCACGTTGTTGCTGAAAACAGCAGGAAATCCATGCTCTCTTCTTTCGGAATGAAACATGCAGGAGAGACGTCAAACAAGCTGCTTTTTATAGCCACGATTGAGGGGCGGAGCCTTGACACTGAGGGTTACGTCAGTCTCACCTTTCTTCCTTTGCCCTTTTCCTGGCTTTTATTCCATTTTCATTCCATTCGTTTAGATGTGTATTTTTGCTTCAAACTAACGAATTATTAATATGCTGCTTCAAATAATCTTCCTCAGCAACTTTATCCCTTACAAATGTAGGCTCAAATACCAATTAAGCTATATGACATGCTTATTATACACAATTTTTCGTAAGTCTTTATTTGGAGTTGCTTTTTTATTTGTGCTTGAACCTTCTCCCTCGCCGTACCGAAATGAGAATTCATGTTCTTTTTTTTATAGATCAGCTCATTAATCTCGGCTCCCTCAAAAAAGAGTCGATTATTTCGGCTCATAAATGTCATTTGTTGCTTTTGTATTATTTAATTTTGGAATGTGTTTAATATATTTATATAGACAAAATGTGTGCAGAATAAGTTTTGAGTTAATCATGAGAAAAGTCGTATTTATTTGAACTTTGGGTTCACGTCGTCGTTCATTTGAATGAATCGACACATCGAGCTGACTCGGTTTCCAGCGGCACGCCGCTGCTCCGGAAGTATTACAACTGACCCCCGCAGCTCGCTAGCAAGCCGTCACATCGTTGCTGTTTGACTTGTCTTATTTAATTCTGGCTGTGTTTCTACCTCAACGACTAAGACTTGACTGTATTCAACTCTTGTTAAAGGTGGGGGAAATAACACAATTGTCTCTTATAGTTTCGTTTCTGCTGCAAGTTTAAAATGAGAATGTTTTTAGTCTGTCCTTGTTGCTGCTAATTTAGCATTAGCTTGTAGCTTAGGCAGAATGTTAAAATGCTAACGCTGCTCCAGCTCCGTTTTCCATCGGTTTTACGTGAAACCTCTTATAAAACTGTATGAGCTGCGTAAATGATTTTATTTCTTTCTATCTCCAGGCCTTTCCCACAGTAACCCTACTAAACACGCTCAGATAAAGTCAATGTTTTTAATCACGCTATCTTCCTGTTGTAAAATGATCATCATCGTGAGTCAGTGTGCAAAGGGCAGCTTTTTAATAAAATAATAAATTAGCTAGATTTATTGCATTGTGTGTGTGACTCTTAACGTGAGTTTAGTTATATATTTTTTTGTCCCAATAATAAGAAGCAGTGCTGCTGTTCAGTTCTGGTTAATGTGTTTACATCAATGAAACAAATACTAAACTCCAAAACCAGAAAGTAGGTTTTGATGAAGCCTCAGCAAATTAAACCTTCATACCGTGTTTGTAAAATTTTTGCACGTTTATCTTTCCATGAGACTAATTATTATTATTATTATTAGAGAGAGTAGATTTTACTTTCCTTATGCTGGAGGATGAATGATGCTCCCACTCAGTCCCACAGAAATCAAAATTGCCATTAAAAAATTTCAGAAAGGTACTTTTCTTAAATTGTGTGATGTATGAAATATACACTAATTACATAAAATATATGCAAAGAAATATATTAATAACGTTAAGACAGTGAAGCTCTGGGTGTCATTGTTCTGGTGATTTCAATGAAACAAATGTTGAATCAAGGTTGTTTTCTTGTGCTTGGTACATGCTACTGAGCTTTGGTTCAAGTGTAGTAAGAGCTGATGCAAAATAAGTCAAGACTGGCATAAAATTAGTAGAATTCAGCAATAAGCCTGATGAGAAATAAGGATCATTAATCTAACTCCAGTGTTAGATTAAGTCTAAGAAGCTGCAAAGTGTCTTATAGTATTATGAATGAATATAAGAGTACTGAACATTTCACAGCAGCAAGATGATTAGTATTAAATATTTGTATTTATATTTTGTATTGTTTTATTTTCTTGTACTTGCATTTCTTCCTCTGATTTGGACTGCTTATTGAACAACCTGCTTTATTCCAGCAGTTGCATAAAGTGGTGCTGTTGTACAAAAATGCTGATTTCAAAGGATCAGCAGAGGAAAAGGAAAAAAAAAAAACAATTCAACCAGTGAAAGTAGTCCAAACCAATAACTTCCATCCTCATCAAAAACGTTTTGACGCCTCTCCTCTTTCCAGGTCGGATAATTTGCCGCCATGTTCCTCACCCTCATGCTGCTGCGCAAAGGTATTCCCGGGAAGCAGTGGATCGGGAAGCATCGCCGCCCGAGGCAGATCACATGGCAGATGAAAAGCAATATGGTGAAGCACCTGGAGCGCGAGGCAGAGAACGAGTACTGGCTCAGCCGGCCGTACCTGACGAAGGAGCAGGAGGTCCGCCACGCCGCAGAGCGCAGGGCCCAAACCTGGGAGCAGATCAAGGAGGCCAACTTCGCCAACTTTCCCGAACACAAACGCATAACGGATCACCTGAGTCATCTGAGGATCACCAGGACGTGGTCGAGTTAACCTTTTCAGATGCAAAGACTGGTTTTCTCAACAAAATGTTTGTTTCATGATTTATGTCAATCGGGCTTTTTCGGCTGAGAATATGTGAAGACGTCGTCTGTCTAAGACATTGCACATCTGTGATTGTGGTAATAAAAAAATGGATGTCACAACGTAATGTGTAATTTTTCCTTTTTGTATGAGAACTGAGTAATTTGTATTTTAGTCTTTATTAAAAAAAAAAGTTCAGTTGCTTTCATTCAGCTGTTGTCTTTAAAGGTTCAAGTTCAAGTATTTTGTGACCATTTGAGAAATTATATGGGTCAGTCTCAATTATATGACTATAAAAATGGACTAATTTACTTTTAACTCAAATCATAGGGCTTTCATTTTTGTCCAGTGTGTGTGTGTGTTGGTTGAAGTCTGTATCTGAACCAGGGGATTTTGTTTTTCAACACATTGCTGTGATAAAACTGCTTTTATGGCGCAACATAAACGGCCCATCTGATAAGGCCTTGCCTTGGGGTGAAAACTGCAATATAATGAGAGAGGCTGTAATTTAGGCCACACTTGCAGCCATTTAAGGACTGACTTAACGCCACACAAAGTAAACATTGACTTGGAAGTACAACTGACCTTTGTAGAGACATTCTCAGTAACCCAGTTGGCTTTATTTTGACTTCCGAGGCAAGGGTCACTTTGCTTCCATGGACTTCTGTCAAAGTGTGTTTTTTAAAAAGTGAGTGAGAACATACATTAATTTTATAATGTAAAATAATTGGGAGCACACTTTCCATCCTGAAGTAAAATGTATCAAAGGTCAAAACAAATATTACATTGAAAAAAACTCATTTCTATTAACTATATAAACTGAAAAATGTTTAAAGATCAGCTTTCCTTTGAGTTCCAGCCCTAATGTCCGTCCGTACTATAATTAGCAGCTGCACAAATAGAGATAATTAATGTCTGGAATTGCCTGGATTTCTGAAGAAGCGATCATAACTACCACGTGCAACATTTGCTGCAACATGCTAGTTGATCAAAATGTACATTTGGAAACCGGTTTTTCTTTTAAAAATAAGGAAAATTAAAATAATAGACATTTATATTCGATGAAAACTTTGTGCTTTTGCCAGTCAGGTGTTGTTCGTATTCAGTATAGATTTTATTTGCACAAAGAGCACGAATGCATCCGTTCATTTCAACACATTTAAATGACTTTCATGACATCTCAATAAAATATATGGAAGCTTGTGGTTGTAAATAATAATAATGAAAAAATAATAAATTACAGAGGTATAAATTATTATTAAATTTTTTTGGGGGGGTCGGGGTAGAGAACTGTATCAGATCCGGCAGATGGCGCTGCTGGACCTTCCAGGCCCGGCTCGCAGGCTTCGCCCCTCCTGCACTGTGCAGTGCGGTGCGTCCCGCTCTTGTTTTCCACTCCTGCATGATGAGGCGGTGCGTGAGGCGCCAACGCATCCCACCGGGCTGAGGAGGAAGAGGAAGAGGAGGAGGAGAAGGAGGAGGAGGAGGAGGAGGAGGAGGTGAACGAAGCAGAGCAGACAGCTCCTGTCCGCGAAAACGCACGCAGCTCCCTCAGTGAAAGAAAGAAACGAAAAAAAAAAAAAACCCACACACTCTCATACACACACACACACACAGGGGAGAAAGCATGAAGAGCAGCGAGGCACCGAGGGGCTCATTTTCATCTGCAGAGGACTGAGTGAAGCCGCAGGATGGCGGGGGGGCGCAGGGGACTTGTGGCCCCCCAGAATACTTTTTTGGAGAATATTGTGAGACGGTCGAACGGTAAGGATGATGATCACCGTGACGGTAGACTGACCTGCGAGGTGTGCACAGTTTAGCCGAGGTCTCCATGTAGCCAGAAAATGTTGGACGGCATCAAATAAACACGCAGCGAAGGGAAACAGGAGGATAGTTATAGTTGCACAGAATCCAGCATTTATTTCTTTAAAAAGAAAAAAAAATTAAGAAAGAAAAAGTTGCAAGAGAAAACTACTGAAGTGTGTCTAGTTCTTGTTCATGTAATGATCTATTTTCAGGATGATAGGATTTTTTATTTTTTATTTTTAAAAAGATTATTATAATTTATTTTAAAGCACCAGTTTTAGTCCCTGCAGAGCAAGCAGAGAGGAGAGACAGCAGATCACTGAAATCATTACATTGATTACATAAGACCAGAGGAAGTCTCTCTCCGAGAAACGTCTGGACCAGATAGGGACGGAGAGGGATTTCCACCAGCCAGAGGAAAACCTGAAAAGATGCTGATGTTCTGGAAGGTGCAGAGCTGCCGTACAGAGCTCATTGTCATTCCTGGTGTTTGGATCACCATCATCATCATCATCATCATCCAGGGTGCAGTTTGAAACTCAACTTAAGCCCTTGTTGCAAATGCCTCGAGCTGCTAAGAGGATTTAGCATCCAGCTTTAACTGAACAACAGATTCTGCTCACCCAGGCGAGAAAAAAAAAAAAAAAAAACTAAAGAGAAAAACTGTCGTTTTTGTAGAATGCTGCTGATTGTCAAAGTAGAACACAGGCGCGTTGATTAAACAAGCAATTACAGACTTTGTTTGAGGATAAAACGGACTCAGATTGAACCCTTGTCACATAATCACAGTTTGATTCACAAAGCATAATTTAAAAAAATCTCTACAAATAGAGATTTCTTTGCATCTGTTTCTAGCTTGAAAAAAAGAGAAAAATCAAGCTTTTCTTTTTGTTTTGTTTGGGTTTTTTTTCACTGATAGAAAATAGATCATCCATCACATTGGACACAGAAGTGTGTTTTGCAAATGGGAAGCTCTGTGCATTGTTTCTTGTCACCCTTTGGCCTTTATTAGATGAAACAGAAAGTGGCATCGTGAGCTGGAGAGGTGTAACACTGAGCAGAGATCTGTGAAAACGAAGCAGGGATGCTAGTGTGGTTTGGGTGCAAAACACGATGTATGTATGTATGTATGTATGTATGTATGTATGTATGTATGTATGTATGTATGTATGTATGTATGTATGTATGTATGTATGTATGTATGTATGTATGTATGTATGTATGTATGTATGTATGTATGTATGTATGTATGTATGTATGTATGTATGTATGTATGTATGTATGTATGTATGTATGTATGTATGTGTGTGTGTGTGTGTGTGTGTGTATGTGTGTGTGTGGGGGTGTGTGTATGTATGTATGTATGTATGTATGTATGTATGTATGTATGTGGGGGTGTGTGTGTGTGTGTGTGTATGTGTGTGTGTGTGTGTATGTGTGTATGTATGTATGTATGTATGTATGTATGTATGTATGTATGTATGTATGTATGTATGTATGTATGTATGTATGTATGTATGTATGTATGTATGTATGTATGTGTGTGTGTGTGTGTGTGTGTGTGTGTGTGTGTGTGTGTATGTATGTATGTATGTATGTATGTGTGTATGTGTGTGTGTGTGTGCGTGTGTGTGTGTATGTGTGCACAACATCCCATGGTCGCAGCTTGTTCTGTCAGAGGAAACGATCATTTCGTCAGAAGGAAACCCTCCACCATCATTTAAAAAGACATCTGTATTAAAATCTGGATTAAGATTACGGAAAACAAACATCTTACCAAATATTTAAAAGATAAATCCGAACTTAAAAAAAAAAAAATCTTGTGGTTATTGATTAGTAAGCAGTTTATTGCTACAAACAAACCGAAGAAGCAGAAGAAGAAGACGGAAAAAAAGACACACACAAATGTTTAAATCTGCAGGATGCCACTGGGACGGTGGTGGGTGGAAGCTCATAAACAATGAAGGAACTCATCCTTCTGCTGCCAAATAAGCAATTGCCTAGACATATTGATTTTCACATTCTTAGCTACATTCCACTAATTAAAAATTGTTACAGATCTTTGGCTCTACGGACATTTTTGGATTGCAGCTCACAAATGACAGAAATGATGAGTGAACGACTTCCTTTAAACTCAAGACATGGACTTTTAAAGCAGCATGCAGATGTGGATGAATTTGTTGGCACCTGTACATTCATTTTTTTCTGAGTATGACTTGGTGTTTGTGATCGCTGATTGTGTGTGCAAAACACACGCAATACACTCTGTGAAAAAGGAAAGCACTTTTCTTAGAAGACAAAATAAGGTTAGAAGAAAAATCTTTGCGCATTCCTCGGCACAAAATCTGTCTAGATGGAAATAAGGATGGGAAACGGGCCCACAGCATCTTGGATTCGGCACTGTACCTTAACAGTGGGCAGGATGTGCTTCTTTACATCTTTATTTGTAGTTTTATGCCACAGTCGGAGTGTTTCATAGTTTTGAGCGACACTGGAGTTAGAAAAACTCTACATGTTTATGTTTGTGAAGGTAGGACAAAAGAGCCTTCAACACACCATTTAACTGTTGCTATAGAAACTTGGCAGAAAAGCGTCGAACTACATGTGCTATCACATTTACACACCAAAGAAGCAGAAATGTAGTTTTTATTTTTTAAATTCAGCATTTTACAAACAAAATAATTTCAAAAGTAAAGTACAAATTCAAGACATATCTTAACATTTATGTTAAAGGGATATTTGCTAACAATTGTGCAATCAGTAATAAAAACAGAGCAAATATTTCCCACGGTGGATTTTTTCCCCCCTCTCCACTAAATCAATCTGATCAACCTGAGTTTGACTTTTCTTAAATTTTCAGTTTCAGATCATTTGACTGCAGTGAACGTTCCAAGAAATTTGTCCACATCTGTATTTGTTTTGTGAAAAAAGGACGTTTTTTTAACTAGCTTATTAATTTTTATTGCTAATTTGCAAAAGAAAATTTCAAAAAAAGTCAAACATCTTTGGTCTTTGTTGGGTCTTACTGGATCCGGCCTGATAAAGAGCTTTTTCACACCCTCGACATCAGTGCTCTATCTGCAGTGGGTCGGCTTTAACACAATTACTCGTGTCCAACCTGTTTTCTGTGTTGTGCAAAGGGACAGGAAATGGAGACCAATAATCCAGGAAAAGAGTGTTTTCATGTAGCCACAGACTCATCAATCAGACTTTTGTTGTGTTTTTTCTTTTCGGCTGACGCTGATTTCTGGTTTTCTTTATGATCTGACCTGCCTGTTCCAGTTGTCTGATTAGTTGTTTTTTTCTGTGGAGCATAAGTCACAGTAAAAAGAACAAAATGTGCTGCAGCCTTTTCATGTAGTAGTGTCAGATTTAGCTCAAACAAAAAACGAAGGCCTAACTAGATTATAGGTCACTAATCTTTATCTGGTTTTCAGTCAACTCCAGAAAGTTGCAACAAACTACATACGTTTGTATGTTAATAAAACAGAAATTATGAAATGGTGGAATTGCTTTGATGATTCAAGACATGAGTTTTCATCATTTCACGGATCACTGGTAAAAGTTGAGAGTAAATCCCCCAATTCTGATTGACTGATACATATTTGGTTTGACTTTTTATTCCTTTGAAAAGAAGAAAAATGTTTGTTTAATCTCAAAACGGCATAATGCTGTAAAGCTATTCTACACCCTGGATTTCCCTCCCAAAAAAAAAAAAACAAAGTGAAATTGTATATTTTCTGCTTCTTAAATGCAAAATATGGCACTTTTATTCATCAGAGCCTTTTTTTTCTTTTCCTGTCAGCAAATAAAGAAGCAAAATTTGGATTCTAATCAAAGCGGTTCCACTTTGTGTTGCCGCTTCTGTTTCGCGTTGACACTAAATAGTCGGGTTCTGTTGCATCAAAAGTAGCAACAGAACCAAGAAAACGTTGGCAACCAAAGCAGTGAAGCCTGCACAGCATCTTCTGCTTGCTGCAGACTATGCTGTTTACCATCAGGCTCCGTGCGTTCGTTTTTTTCTGGGGTTTTTTGGCACCATTGTTTGCGTGTTGAAGAAATAGGATTGAAAATAAATTTGCGATGGGTTAGGGTTTGTAATTGCTCTTAAAACATCTGTCAGGATTTTTGCTCTCACCTCTTCTCTTTGGCATGTAGGTTGAGCACATTTTTAATCGCATCAAAGCCTGTAGAGGGAAAATGCAGCCAGCAGGAGTCAAGTTAAGGTTGAATATATATATATATATATATATATATATATATATATATATATATATATATATATATATATATATATATATATATAAAGATGACACTGTAATTAGCTGGCTTAGGCCTTAGATATCCCTACTGACTGTTAGTGTCTGCCTCTGTGTTATTTTGATTACTTTAGATGCAGACATTCTTTTTGTCAAGCAGTGTTTTGGGATGTTCCTGTGACACAATGAGCTGATTTAGCAAAAACAACAACACAAATCGGTAAGGACGCTGCTAACTACAGAGAACTGTCAAAATGTGTCCACATACAGTGTCTTTACTTCGTTTAAAAATGAAAGAGATATGCTAATAGTTGGAGAACTATATGCCAGCTGTTCATTCTGGTTGTGTGTGAGAGAGCGATACTTTCAGCAGCTAACAGGAAGGCTGAAAATAAATACGTTTTTTTTTTTTTTTTTTCTTTTCAATCGTTTTGAGCTTCCAACGTCTGCCTGTCATTAAACATCCTGGATTTGGGAATGCTGTCAGAAAAAGAAAAAGGTTGACAGTCTCTTGAAAGAATACTGCGCTAACTTTGCTAAATGCTAATAGAAAATGCTTGTGAGACTTCAGCATATCAATATGACAATTATTCCATGTGTCTTTTAATATAGGAGCAAACAAAAAAAAAACCTGCTTCACAACGACTGCTCCCTCTGTGGGACACCGCCTCGGCTCCCGGTGCCATTAATTATTGACCCCTCATAGCAGGAAACCAGGAAGAAGCGTTTTGAAGTTGTGAATTGCAGCTCTTAATGAGAATCAGATAAAGCAGTGATTAGCAGGTCAACGCTTCACAGAAACCACAGATCGACAATCAGCTGCAAAAAATGATAACCAATGGACAAGTGTTTTAATATCCATAAAACTCCCGTGTTGCATTTACCCAGAAACGTACATTGGGTTAATGGAAAACTTTTGAAACACTTGAATTATGACTAAGTCGGTTGGGACTAAAGAGCCAGAGCTGTGTGTCTTTTGTTTATTGCAGATCGTCATCTCTGTCTGACATTCTTCATTCATTCAAATGTTTCTCCCTGTGCTCTGTTAACTTTCTTTTCTTTTCAAACATTTCAGTTTGGACACTGCCACATAGGCAGACAGGTACACTGTGAAGTTTAACATGGAGTGCTCCCTAGTTCAGTATCTCTGCAATGTATCTGTATCCAACGCCGTCATTTGGAAGGCGCCCCGTTAGCGCTTTAGTCGTTTCGAAGTCAGCCAGAGAGTGTTTCAGTTCCAACCCCGTTTCTCACAAAGATCCTCGTGCATGTGGCTGTTGTGAAGGACACATGGGCATGTGATGTGTTGTGGATCATCTTCTGTCACTGTGCTGATGCTTTGAGTTGCTGTTTGTGTTACTGTGACTTTCTGTGTCGATGAAAGTTTTCTGTTTTATGTGGCCGGTGTTTTTTGTCCCCCCTCCCCGCTCTTTTGCTCACCCTTTTATCGCCACGTTGTAGTCACTATAAAAAGCTTCGCCTCAGACTAAAACTCACAATCTCATCTGTGAAAATTAGGATAATCCATTTTAAAATGTTTGTTTTGTTTGTTTTTATTTGCTTTAAAAAATGCTGCCCTTATTCTACATTTAATTTTGTTTTGTTTTTTGATATCTGCAAAACAAAAAGACTGATTTTTCTTCAAGTATTTATCTCTGCAGATTTTACTAAAACGTAGATGGAAGATGCCAAATAATGAGGTGCAAAAGTTTTAATCCCCTACAAAATTTGGCCAGTCTAATTAATATATTTTAACAAGTGTAACAAATGAGGTTTAGATATCGTTCTTATTATACTTCCCTTAGAAATGGCTAAAAACTGAAATATAAATAAATATTTAAGGATTTCTGACAGACGAGCATAACTTTAAGATGAGTTTTAAGTTTATTAATGATTTATTAGAATTGTTCTACTAAATCTAGAATGATTATACACTTACTATAAGTCAGACGCTTTTTGAAATCTTAGCAATGTGCCACAGCGGTAACTTGCAATAAGATAAAACATTTTTGCCGTTAAGTCCAAAATGTCTCACATCCGTGGCAGACGTAAATTTAAAATGAATTTCATCCAAACCCAGTTTATTTCTGGTTGGAAGTCAGACGGGCATGTCTCAAAACTCTACAAAACGACCTAAAACATGCAGTAGTCTAGAAAAAACATTTAATTTTATTCACAGTTTAATAACAAAATGACATATTACCAGCTATTTATAACCTACTCTTCTCAAAAATCAATAGGAAAAGCCTTTTGAAACTTTGTGGGGGGGATGATTTCTTCGTCTTTGTTTTTTTTTAGATGATTTATCTTTGATGATGAGGAAGGGCTCCTTACCATCACCCTAATCTTTAGCTTTCCGAACAAGTCCTTTATCATATTTATGTCAGGACTTCAAAGAGTTTAATATTATCTCCACTCAGAAGAATCATATTGGTAAAATGAAAAGATTACCTAATCGTCCGCATGATGAAAAATCTTCATCTTAGTTGTTTGTTGTATGATCATTTCCACCCTTGGCAAATAACAAATCAGATAAACTAAAAATCCTCAAATTAATGTAAGTTCCAACCCCCTGATGCAAACGTTTGACTGAAACTGTAACTATATCTGCATCTGAACATTAACATTTATACACCGTTCAGTGTAGAAACGTTCATCAGATTAAATCTCACACACTGGCAAAATGATCAATTAGGTTTCTTTCACAATCTGTATAAAGAGCGGTCAAAATGAGAGTTTTTTGTGTTTTCTACGGAGAAAGTTAAGAGAAAGAGAAAAGAAAAGCTGATTTTATGGCGTTCTGTTCTCAAAGCAAGAGTTTCACCCTGTGTGAAGAATGTAATGAGGCGTAGACAATTAGAGACCCTAATGGCAACCACTTAAAAGCGTTTTGGCACTAAAAGGCAGTATATTTGCTACTTTTAACTAATAGTGTAAGCGTTTCTGTGTAAACACACTTTTTCAATAAAATCCATGTTTCACACAGCTTTCAAAGATTTACATTATGAGGATGTACTTTAGCTAGATGTCGAAACCAATCAACATTTAAACATTTTGATCCGTAAAAATTTATATGTAATTGCAAAAACAGATTTAAGACATATTAAACTTTTAACTCTGGTTTAAACATGTTTTAAGTCAGATTTCCTTTGAGTTTCCAAGGAACTTGCTCATCTCAACCTTCTCCTGAGCCAAAATATCATTTTAGATTGTGGATGTGGCGGCTTTTGATAGCACTCTGTCATCTAAAGTTGCTGTTTTCTTTCATGTCCTCTTCAAAACAGACACCAACTTTGTCCTGGGCAATGCTCAGATAGTGGACTGGCCCATCGTCTACAGCAACGATGGCTTCTGCAAGTTGTCAGGGTACCACAGGGCGGAGGTGATGCAGAAAAGCAGCACCTGCAGGTAGGGGCCGACAAGATGTATACCTATAAGTCACGATATCGAGGTTTGTGAACTAGGGGTGCACCGATTTATCGGCCAGCCGATTTATCTATGACGATTTCCTTAGTTTTGGGAGGTTGATGATCGGCTGATTACTACATGTGAAGCCGATCTTATCCACTGATCTTATCTGGCTTGGCAAATGAGTAAGAATCAAATACTGTCCGGTGAGAAAAGATTGACTCACAGACCTTCAAGTTATGTCTGCATGTTTACAATTAACAACAGAGACCCCACTGTTGCCAAAGCAACAACTTTCTTTCTAGCTATATTGAGCAACATTTCACACACATACACAAAAAAAAATTGGTATCGGCCAAATTCTTTAAGAGATTGGTAGTCTGCGATCGGCCAGAAAACTACAATCAGTGCACCCCGATTGTAAACCTTTACATTCCCAAATGTAAACAATATCTTGAAAGCCTTTCTATTAGGCTTTCCATATTCAATTGAAGATTATTTTTGATTTTATATAATTAAGTTGGACTGCTGTTTTTAACTCATTCTTGAAAACGGGTGAAATTCCAGGAATATCTTTCAAACTGCGGTTGTAGTTGGACTTTTTTTTATTTTCCTCTGATCTGTACCCTATTCATATAGACTGACATTGGATTTAAAATGTTAAAATGTTCTGCTGTTTTAATCAAACAGGGTTAAATGTCTGCAATAAAATCTGTGTCGTATCACATAGAGCAGTAGGAAACGGGATAATGAACTACCATTATTTTCTAAAACTATAGCCGATTAAATCCAGGAATATGATTTGTAGGAAAGATTTTCCACAACAGAAAGCAGTGTATGAATGTGAAGTAAAGAGACACGGATTCATGGTTTGATTTTTATTATTACAAATAAAAATAAGGCGATGGAAACAAATGTTATTTCTCCTAACCTCAAGCTCACATGGATGGCGAACATTTGTGAACATTCATCTTTCAAATATTGCAGCAGATTCTTGGTTGGATTTTGGTTCTGAAATTTGACTGGGCCATTCCAGAACACTAAACTAACACTAACTAGTGATTCCTTTACTTTTTAGAACTTGTACTGCTTAAGAAAAGAGCCTAAAGCTGTCCTTTTACTTCCTAAAACAACAGCACAGTTTGATTTTCCTTTGTTGTGGAAACAAAACAAAATCTCCTCCATTAAGCATTTCATTGATAGTTGAAGCTTAGTTGTTTTCCTAAAGCCTTCAAGATCGAAGTTGTTCATGTCACAAAGTGGTTAGTAGATGAGGACTGAGACCCGGTGTAAAGTGAATGAAGGAGTTTATTGACGTTCAAAACAGAACTGAGTGCCAAGAACGAGACAACACAAGCTCAGGTTGACACCCCATGACTAGAACCCAGTGGGCAACGGAGGAAACAGGCAGGGTTAAACACGCAAGGGGGAAATAAACAGGGGAACAACAGACATGTGGGATCAATCAGGAACTCCACAAGATGACACAGGGACTAAATGAACTAATAATCGCACACCAAAACCCAGATCCTTACTGATAAAAGTAAGAAAAGTGTCCCCAAAACTCAAAGCCCTGACTGAAAACACGGCCGACTTGTGAGACAGAACTGCAGTGATATTTTTGAAGTTTTATTTTTGTATTTTTGCATGTATTTTTATAGAAAATATTTTAGTGGACACATTGCTACATTGTTTTTAAGTATAAAATGTAAAAAAAAAAAAAAAAAATGTCATTTGCTCTTAGCCTGGTTATTGAGCATAACAATTACCCAGACTGACTGGTTTGAAAACTTAGGACAAGAAACACATTTACGTTTGGTTAGTTATCATTTCCAAATGATAAGTCCAAGCTAAAAGGAAGAAGAAAACTAAACATGTACCTGTACTTGTTTAGATGCAATTCTCTGACAATCGCATTTAAAATGTTTGTAGTTCATTTGCAAATGAGTCAAATTAACATTGTTATTAAATGATCATTGTTAAACACAACATTAAAACCAGCAGTTTTAAGACCGAAAACGACGAAGCTAAACCAGTCCATCATCGCTCTTGTTGTGTTTGAGGCTGTTGTTGTTCTGGAAGGTGAATCTCTGCCTGTAATGGATTCATCAGTCTTCACATAAACTCAAAGCAGTTTTCCTGCCTTGCTTTAGAAAAGTATCCCCACTGCATGATGCTGCCACCACCATGGCTCACTGTGAGAACGGTGTGTTCAGGGTGACGTGGAGTGCTAATTTTCCACCACAGATAGTGGTTTAGATGTTGACAGAGCATTTAATTATGGGCTCATTGATTCAGAGTAACTTCTTCTACACCTTTTTCCTTGAATGCAAACTGCAAACTGAAATTCTCAGTGTTGTATTATTATTATTATTATTAATAATAATTATTATTATTATTATTATTGCTTTCTTCTCAACAGTGATACAAAACGGCCATATTGGTGAAATGTTACTTGTTCGTGTAACAAACTTTTTGAGTCTTTCGCAGAACCTCAGTATTTATACGTTGAATTTTATGCATGGGTAAAATGAATGTCGGAAACTATGAATCATTTCCTTTTCCTTCACTGACGCATTTGTCTTGGCCTATCACATAAAATCCTAATGCTGCACATGGAAGTTAGGTGTACTGTATGTTAAAATATATAGTTCTGCTAAGAGCACAATATAAGCTTTGCAGTTTTTATTTTTAGTAAGTCCAAATGAAAAGTGTCTTCCAGTGTTTTAAGTATGCATGTAGAGTATATAGAGATTGTTCAGAGAAACACATTTGACTATTAATCATTGAGTATGTTTTTTGTTCTTTCCTTCTGAGACTTTAAATCTTTAGTGACAGTGATGTAAATGCTCCACTTGCATGCTTAAATAATAAAAAACTGAACGCCTTCTGGCTCTTGTTCGTGTTGATTTTAATGGGATTTGTGAGAACTCTCGATGGCGCATTGTAAAAAAAAATAAATAAATAAAATAAAATAAAAACAGTCAATTAAAAGCCAGAGGAGCCTAGAAGCAGCTTCAATCTGGACATTTTTCTGCAGCTGCAGTGTTTTCTCTCCTGTGTTCACACGACAGCCTCTTTCTGCAGGAAGGTGCCTGGAAGGCAGCGCTGCACAATGCAGAGAAAGAGAGAGAGAGAAATCAGGCAGGCCTCAAAGTTGTGTTTGTGGGAATATTTCCTCCTCATTTGTATGGACTGTAATTTGTGTACGAGTGGAATCATTTTAAAAACAAATGATTTAATCGTCAAGATAGTTGCAGCACCACCAAACAGCCTCTTTTCTTTTCTTTTTTTTGTCATTCCAAGAAAAGTCTTTCTTTCTTTGGGAATTGTGACCATTAACCCAGTTTCCCTGAAATCCGTCCAAAGAGTGGTGGAGACATTAGGGTGCGCCGGAGTGACAGACTTGTTGACTGATCGACTCTGACAGAGTCACGACGCCGACGAGGCTCGGAGGCTGAGCCATGGCGAACCGGACGATTTTTCCCCTCCGTTTTGTCTGTCGTTACAATAAACTTTAAATAGCCGTCAATTAAGTGGAGGGCCCCGGGTGATTAACTTAATGATTAAAGTGCATGCAGCAGAGTTCAGCGGCTAATTGCGGCCACTCATGACAGCTTCTTGTCTTTATTTTACACCAGACAATAAAGATCTGACGAGACATTCAAAGATCAGGAGGTGTTTCCTGTTGGAAACAGCAGAGATGTGTGGTGTAATCAGGCTGAAATGGCTTCTTGTGACTGTAAAACTGCGGACATACAGTCTCTTGCAACAAAACTGCCCTCAAAGTGACAAAAAGCCATCGCAAATGAGCAATATTTCAGCTGTAGGAGGCAATTTGTGTTTTCTTTTTCTCCACTGTGCCCGATATAAACAGGATCACAGTTGGTGCTGCTGGCAGCTTTAAGAAGCCGTGGGAGATTTCATCTGCTCCGGGAGATGGTGTTCGTCACAGCCGGCACATCGGCGAGTCCTATTTTTGACACGCGGCCTCCCCGCGCGTAAACATAACACTTAAGAACACTCACCAACACAATATATATATATATATATATATATATATATATATATATATATATATATATATATATATATATATATATATATATATATATATATATATATATATATATATATATATATATATATATATATATATATATATATATATATATATATATATATATATATATATATATATATATATGAATGGATAATTCCATTCTCCTCTGAACTCGGGTCCTCTACCAGAGGCCTGGGAGTTTGAGGGTTCTGCGCAGTATCTTGGCTGTGCCAAGGACTGCACATTTCTGGACTGAGATGTCTGATGTTGTTTCCTGGATCTGTTGTAGCCACTGCTCCAGTTTGGGGGTTACTGCCCCGAGGGCCCCGATGACCACAGGCACCACTGTGGTCTTCACCTTCCAGGCCCTCTCCAGTTCTTCCCTGAGGCCCTGGTATTTCTCCAGTTTCTCGTGCTCCTTTTTCCTGATGTTGCAATCACTTGGTATTGCTACATCTACCACAACGGCTTTCCTCTGATGTTTATCCACTACGACAATGTCTGATTGGTTCGCCATTACCATATATATATATATATATATATATATATATATTAGGTTTATTTCCAGGCTGCGGCGCATAGAGGAAGGAGAAACAAACCTGGAAATCTCCCGACTGAATCAGGGAGCCGATTGAAGGCGCCCTGCTAACATTTATTAAAGTGTCTCACAAATGAGTTTGGAGGGTACTCGATACCACAACCTGGCAATTAATGAATGATTAATGACAAGTATCCTCCAAACCCATCGCTGAGGTAATTGTAATGAGTTGGAGGAGGAATATGCTGTGTTTTATTTCTAATGATATAATCATGGGTGAGGCGTCTAAACTGGAGTTTTAAATCTCTTAAACTGTTCATTTGAAAGATATGCTGGTTGGTGCTGCATAGGTCCACTGATTAGTGATGCAAGCATCAGCCCATAGAAATATCCATAAGT